AAAATGTTCTGTTTGTCTCATAGTTCAAATATAATTCGATATATGTGGCTGCTCTCATGGCTTATTCATCTTTGATAATCAACTTGTTTCTTGATTAGTGTTTGATTCAGGATATGCAATAATTAGAAGACGATTAGCAATGCTAAATAATTTCAAGATCTTTATCTCTTGAATGAGGAGCTACTTATTGCCTTTGTTTCTCACATTTTTTTTCAAACCTAGCATAACTTTTTGGGGCATTTATCTAATATAAGATGAGTTCTATTGAAGCCATATCTCAATTTAGATGAAGTTCATTCTCTTAATAAGCCTTGTTATATATATCCTCTAGTAAAACAAAGTCGTAGTTGTCCTTTACTTCATATACTAATCTTTTTAAAATACCTTTGGATCTTGTATATTATATCATTTGGTGCCCATTTCATGTTCATTCTCATGTTGGATATTGATTTTTTTTTATAACAATTGTTGAAGATTATAAGGAGCATACATGGGTGTTTTTAGTCAAAAGTAAAATTGATGTTTCCATCACTATTCCAAATTTCATCCCCATGGTCAAGAATCTATTTAGCACAACACGGTTTCACCCTTTAGTGGATCACGATGTCTCCTCCTGGGGGCTTCACCCAGAGGCAGCCTTAAAGAGCCCAAAATTGCTTGGAGTTGTTTTGTGCTTGAAACTCTACGAGGTGCAGATATAACTAGGGGATGATCATTGATTGGTTGTAGTTTTTTGGATTGATCTTGGAGGACATGCCAATGATGATGATGGATGAGTGCGCGAAGATTGACGGGGGGAGATAAAACCTTAGATTTTATGGAACATAAAGGGCATGTAGTGGAGGTAGAGATGAATGGCGAGATTGAGGAAGTAAAAAGTGAGGGATCATGGAGTTTATATAAGAATTTAAGAGCTATTCTATTTCTTTATGTCATGAAGGTGTAAAACATTAGATAAAGGAAATGGAGATAGAGAAGTTGTAAAGATAAGTGAAAAGTAAAAATTATAGACCGGATCGAGATTAAAAATAAAAATGAATATATGACATATGACGTAGAAAACGATCCGACCAAATTGTGTCACGTATTCAATTGGGTCCACATGATACCTCTGCTAACATTGTTAATAGGTAAATAATGAAATATAAATTTAATTAACATTTTAAAATACTTATTTTCATGTCAAATATTTTGAAATAAGATTTTTGCACTTTTTCAATTAGAGATTAAAAAATAAAATTAATTAAGAAATTGCTTGTTCTAATTTATTTATTTTTATTTATTCTTACATTTACTAAAAACGAGCTTTCAAACATATGTTAAATGAATTTTACAATTGAAAAATATAAGTCATCATTTGCATCACAAAACTTATAGAATATAAAATAATAAAAAGTACCCAAATTATCAAGGAATTGACTTGTTTAAAATATTAATTATTGACTTCGACCACTTTTTTACTTCCATAATATATATATATATATATATATATATAGAGAGAGAGAGAGATATAGATATATAGATATAGAAGAGGAAAGAACAAAGATTAGAAAGAATCTCTAAATTTTCAAAAGAAAATTGGTTCGAAGTATGGAGTGATTTACAAGAAAACTCTGTTAAAACATTGAACGAGATAATTGAGTCTACACTAGCGGGGGTGATACGCTTATACGTATAAATTTAAATTAAATTAATTATTTTATTTATTGTTGCCTTGTAATAATTTGAAGTTGTCTTAAATATATTTATATTTATTTATTTTTTCTATAAGAATAATTTTAAATCGTATTTCACGTACCAAAATTAAATTCTATTTAAAGAATATCAATAGACCATATTTATGCATTAATTTATATATTAAGAAATTTTCTTCTGAAATTCTACATAAAAAATTAAATCTAAATGCTATTAAAATATGAATTAAATCAAATTATAATATAAAGGTATATTAACTAGTAAAATTTTTAACGTATCTATATTTTATGTAACCTTAATATTTTAATAAAATATTGATTGGTGCCCACTAATATTTTAATAACAACAAAATTTACAGTAATCAAAAAATTCATTTAAACTTTCACGGTATATTAAAAAATAAATTTCATTAATTAAAATTGCATTATTCCAAACGTAGTTTTCGCTTATTTTAACTAAAATTCATTTTAGAGGATTATAAAAATTAAACTAATATCGAAGATTTTAAAATTCAGAATATATAATATGATAAAATGCTATCAAACTTAGTATAATGTGAAATACATCATCCATACTTTATATCAATTTTATATTAACGTATTTTTTTATTTCATACATTAATTTTTTAATTTTCTGATTAGGAAGCTGCAGGTAGAATTTACCAAAATTTTAAATCGGTTGCAAAGAAAGCTTAAAATATAATATTATATCATATATATATATATATATGTGTGTGTGTGTGTGTGTAAAAGAAAAATTACATAATTGTAGAGCGAGATATTTTGGAAAAGAATAGAAGTGAGAAAACATAATCCATGTTAGGTTTGACCTCTTCAAAGAAAGATTTGTAGGCATCTTTGTCACCACCCATCACCACCATCATTCTCCGCTCATTCATTACAATCCACTCACACATCCTCTTCCTGTTCTCATTTTTGGTCCTTATACATACATAGACACATACAATATATATATATAGAGAGACAGATACATACATACATACATATATGTACTCTTTTATCTTATGTTATTTATATAATAGTAATATAGTATTGTGTTGAATGGTTTTGGGAAAATGGGGTTTATTCAAATTCATGAGTCATAGAAGACTTTCAATAGTCAATACACTCATTGCAATTGAATATGTAGATGGTCAAAAATTTTGGTTCACTCAAATTGATTCGTGGGATGTTTGCGTTTGGTCCACTCATACACAAAAAAAAAAAAAAATCTTTAATAAAATTGCCAATTTGGTAAAACTTTAAGCCGACGATCCAACATTTCCTCTTCCTCTCAAACTTTCTGTTTATAGAAATTTTTTATTTACACAAATCAAGTTGTTCAACATTAGTTGACTTTTTATGTGACATTAAAACCTAAATTGTTTTCAATCAAGGGTTTTTGAGTTAATTGGAAATTTAAATCTAAAATATTTCTTAATGTTAATTTAAATCTACAACGAGTTCTCACGACAATTTTAACATAGTAAAAATATGTACTTTTTTGGGTAAATACGTAAGTTTTTTAAATATCTTTTATTAATTTTAATGTGTTGTATATTCTAAGATCGAATTTAAAAATGTATTTTTTTTTTTAATTTTAAAGTGCAATTCATTTCGTATAATAAAAATTTAAAATGTGTGTGTGTGTGTGTGTTAGTTAAGTTTATAAGAAGAAGAAGGTATTCGTCTTAACCTATCAAAGTTAGGTCCATTTGATTTTTATGGGCTAAGATAAAGCCCTAAATAAAAACTCCAATTTCAATTGGTCCAAACAAGGCATAGAAAAAAAAAATGGATTGCTACACTTTATAACGATCTTAAGGAAAACCCATTTTGGTACTCTACGAGGCCCAACTAATCAACTACATAACCCAAAAATATAATCAGCAATTTACCTTATTTTAAAGGCGTGTTTGGGTGAGATTGCACGTTAGATACTGAAGTAATAAGTGAATTAAGATTTGAAAAGGTTATGAAATTTTGAATGGAAAAATATAACCCATTAAGGAAATGTAAGTGAATTGAGATTTGGAATACGTTGCCTAAATTTATTTCACTTGGGTTATATTTTGTTTCAAAACATACTCTATTATTGTTTAACTTTTAATTCGCTACTACGAAGCATCGGTCGGATAATTGGTACATTGTTGATCATTTTTTTCATGTAAAAAATTATGAATTTGAGTACGTTTACGCGTGTACTTAATATCTAGATTTTATTATAATTAGATATATATCATAGCTAATTAATAATATGTATACTTCTACTAGAAAAATATTGATCCACTCACAAGAGTCAAATTTTCCTAGATTTTGAATTTAATCATATCTTTGATTATGAAACTATTAATTTGATTACTGGATGCATAACTAAATGAAAAAATGTAGACCCTCGAATCAAACATGAAATTGATTTTGAACTAAAATATTATTTTTATTTAATTTTATTCAGTACTTATTTGAGCAACAATTCAAATTTAAATTAGTGAGAAACGTTACATTAATTAAAAATATTCCCTTTTTTTTTAATTATTTTGCGAAATATTTTGATTCTCACTTTAATTAATAGAAACATATATTTCATAAATAAAATTCACTCCTTCCAAACATAGCCTTAAACTTCTCCCTCTCAAGTCTTGACATTGTCAAAACACACCGTTTTAAGAATATCCTTGTACTCGTGCGGGGGGTCCACATAATTATCTCAAAACCCACTCTCGTTACCTAACAAAGTACGCTTAATCAATGGCTAATCGAGCTTTAATCATCACACTTTCTACTTCCTCGACTTGGGCGTTGGGGGGACCCATCACATCAGTTAATAAATCAGACAGTGCCCACGTATGCATTACTACACGAAATCCCATCCGAGTACATTACACTGTGGAGTCCCTCTTTTCTCTTACCCTTTCCTTCCCCTCTTCGGATGTTTCAAATTAGATCTGACCGTACACTGGAACGCAATTGGCAGCCAGTCCAATCACCATCCAACGGCATAGAAATGCACAACCCTGAGTCTGATCTCAAATCAGGACCGTAAAAACGGTGGGTCCCACCTGTCTGGATGATCTGTAATCCACCCAAAAGCAAAAGAAAACGACAAATCTTGCCCTACAACAGCGGTTTTTTTCTTAAAAGATCTAACAAAAATGCCGTCACGATCCAAACACAGCATAGATTCTCTCCCTCTCCATCTTCCTCTTCCGTCCCCTCCTCCTTTCCTCCCTCTGCAAATTAACTTTTTTCCCATTTGACCAAAATACCCATCAGTTTCGAGAAAATGGCTTGTGTATACCTTTGACCGTGAAAGGATAACAGCGCCCTGTTTCGCTGGCCTCTCAAATTGGGAAAATATCAACTCAGCGGGTAGAGCCGTAGACTTGAAATACAAAGAAAAAAGAAGTTTCCCTTTCGATTTCTCGGCAGCCAAACAGATTAAAAGGACTACACTTAAAGATTTGGCAATAGGAAAAACTGAAAGTAAATGGCTTTATTGTTGTACAAATCTGAAAGTAAATGGCTTTATTGTTGTATAAGCTGAGAGTTAGAATAAGTAAACCCTTCAATTATGCTCATGCTAAGTTACCTTTTCTTTTCTTCTATCTTTTCTCTCTAAATTCCAGTTTAGATTTTCTTTTCTCTGCTGCAACTTGAACTGAATTATATAGCACAAGGTCTTCCCTTTTTCACTGCACCAGAATGAGAGAATAAAAGAGAAAGCAGAATACCAAAAAGACAAAAAGAAGATAGAAAAAGAAAAAGAAAATTGCAGATTAGAAATCTGAAGGGAGAACCTTATTCGTAATCATCAAGAACTTGGCATAATTTTAACTTTTACTTCTTCTGCAATTTGCACAGACTATATACACAACAATGGCGAAAAGAATTCAGAGATTGGAAATGGAAGCAAGAATAACAATTGTGGCTTTCTTCCATACTATAAATTATTGGAATATTATCACAATTAACAATATAACATATCTCTGATCTCTAGATTCCCAGAAGAAAAAAAAAATCTGGCTACTTTTGTAGCCAAATTCAAGTGTGTAAAAGGTAGAGAAAAAAAAAATAAAACCAACAAAAAATCAATAATTAAAAAAAAAATTAAGCATAGAGAGCAGATAAAACTCATACCAATAGATACAATCCTATACAACACAAAGCAAGAACAATGCAGCTTCGTCTTGTTGATCCGGATCTTATGTCCTCGCGAAAACTCGGTGGAGATAACAGGTTCGAGGGAGACTCGCTGGATTCCGCCGGAGTTTCTGGTGGCGGAGAGATTTCCGGCGAATTGGAAGCTTCGACGACACCATGCCCGGGTTTGCCGCCGGGTTCCAGTGTAGGGTCCTTGCTGAAGATCTCCCTAGGCAGTAAAACTCTTGATACACCAAAGATCGAAACCGGGTTTTGATCGAATACGGTTTGGGTAACGGATGCTTGGACGATACCAGTGTCTATGGCGACCGACCCGTTAACCCGGGAAATGTTGAGGGTGAAGCTACCTGCACCTCTTTCCTCGGTGGCTAGAGTAGGTTGAACCGGATTGACGATCGACTCCAAAGACCCGAGTGGGTAGTAAGAATGGAGGACATGGAATTTCAGAACGACGGCCTTCTGATCGGCCGGCAAGGACTGCAGCTTCACATTGGAGGGTAGGTTAGCGAAGGCGATATCGGTGGGGACGAAGAGCGTGATCCCGGCTCCTCGCTCATCGTTCTCGAAATCGGTAACGACGCCGGAGGCGGATAGCATGGAAGCGGCGACGTTGAAATCGTGGCCGTCGAGGAGCGTTTTGGTGATGTTCAGGCCGAGAGGAGGCCTGGTTTCCGATGCCATGAGGTCGAAGCCGTAAGGGACGAGGAGGGAGTCGACGGCGAGGACGGTGATGTTGTAAGGCATCGTTTTGATGAGCGACAAAACGGTGGCGTTTGAAGGCGAGTACGGTGCCGGCGGAGAATGTACAGTGACGGAACCCGTTTCCGCGTCTCGAGTAATGTTGACGGAGCCGAAGTTAGAGGAGGCGCGTCCCGTCGTCTGGAAGAGAGTGGTGACGAGGGTACCTGAGGGCGTGATCTTCTGCAAATCGGACCACGAGAGAAATTGAAGGAGCACGTGGTAACGGAGAAGGTCAGCGAGTGAGGACGGCGGGAGTGGGCGCGTGAGCTCCTCCGCTGACGAGAGGTACTGATTAGGCACCGCCAAAAGAGTCAGCGAGATACGGTGACTGAGCTCATCCGCGACGCCGGTCTCCGTCAGGAGGCTTGCGAAGGAAGAGAGGTTCTGGAACGAGGAGAGAAGGGTGGTGACATCAATGGCGGATGCGGTGGGGGTGGTGGTTGAGATGGTGAAAATTAGGAGTAAATAAGCGAATGTGATAGGGGTAAAATGGGAGATAGCGGCCATGTTCATGGTGTTTTCTTCTCTTTCTCTCTTTCTCTCTCACTCTCTCTGGTTGCAGAGCGAGTGAGTGAGTGATGTTGCGGTGGAGGAGGGCGGGGTTAAGTGAGAATTGAGTGGAGCAGAGTGAGCGAGCGACAAAGAAAGAGAGATGAAGTGGATGGTGTGATGGGTATGATCATGTTGATGATGATGTCGGGATGATGTTGATGATGCATGTACACACATCATCCTAATCATTATGATGGTGAACTGGATCCATTTAGGTTTTTCTTCTTTTGCTCGTATGTTCAAAAAAAGTTTTATTTGATTTTTCATCCATTATTTAATTAGTTGTATTTATTAATATATAAATAAATTAAAATATTAAAATTCAATGTATTAATTTATCGGTTCCATAAATTTGATAAAATTAATAATTACTTGAGAACTTAATATCTATCTACGGGGGTGGATAATTTTCCTCGTTAAAACCCACTTATAAAATCTTGTAATTTGAAGACTTTTAATAAATTCCCTTATTAATCACATACATAAATAAACCCTTCATTGTATGTAGTCTGTACATACATACATGTATAATCCATCGTTCGTCTACTTGCATTCCAAACACACGCGCCTGGACCCAAAGTCGTAGCCGCAGGTGGCTATTGATCAGATTTCAGAGGTTAGTGGGGGGCATCTTCTAGATTTGTTTTATCAAAGCTAATGGAATCATAATCTCCCAATTAGCCTTTAAAACTTGTAGGCTTATTATTACTCGTAGCCTTTAAAACGCAATTAGTAACCGCGTTTAACTCCTTAAAGAATGCCCCGCTAGCAACCAACATCATCACCCACACCCACACCCACACCCACATGGAGTAGAATATAAATTAATCATATAATAATATTAATTATCGTAATAAATAACGTTTATCTGACTTAATCAATGTCTTTATTTTATGAATTACACGAGACTAGGTTTTGTTTTCCAAGAAATGGGTGATTAAGATTAAGAAGAAGAGCCTCGTTTTGATATTTCGTATGTGATTTGCTTTTTTCTTCTTATGGCATTGCATGGCATGAAATTTCAAATATATATATATATATATGTGTGTGTGTATATAATCTAATTATG